ATTATTTTAAATTTTATTTTATTTATCACTTATTTCATAAATTGTTAAAATAATACATTCATTCTTATCATAATAATGTTATGAACATTTTTTGCATTTTTATACAATGATTAATTATCAAAAAAAACTAATGAAATATTTGTTAACATATCTTTTAAAATTTTATTCATAAAGTGGTAGATAATCTGAATAATTTTTATTATTAGTTCAATTAGGAAATTTTATGAAATTATGACACCAATGACGTGGTTTACATATGTATACTATTTCAATATGTTTAATGCTCTCGTATATATGTGCTTATTAGTATGTATATTTTAAATTTAGTGATTAATTAATTTTCGTAATTTAATATAATTTAAAATTTGTCTGCAGAATTACTTTAAAAATGACTATGTATTGTCAGTTATTTCTGCGAAGTTATTATTATCAGCATCAGTGGCCTGTATCGATTTATATATTATATGCTATTTTTATGGTTATCTTGAAAATCAAGTAAATTAGACTTTAATAGTATTTAGTACATTTTTATTACTTTTCGACTTAATACTTGATATAAATACTCCATTTTCTGAAGTTTTAAATTATATATAAAAACAAGTTCTTTTCAAAAATATACGAACAAAGTAAGCCCCTCGTATAAAAGTACGAAACATTTAAGTGCAAAATGTATAATAATCAAAATTATTTAAAATAAAATTTAATAATATTTAACTAAATATTTTTCTCTGAAGATACATTTAAATGTTTTCATATAACAGTTTATTATGGATTTCTACTAAACTATTCTTTATTTCGCGCTATTTTATAGTTATATCAAAAATAAAGTAAAATAATATTTTTTTTATTGATTATTTTTAGAATAAAATGGGTTTATTATTGTAATATTATCTACTTAATATAACTTTTGAATCTGTAAATCAAAAATTTAATTGAATTAGATTTTGAAATTAGACAGCACATTTAAATTACACTTTTCTTTAATTTGATATAAATACTCAATTAATGTCGTTATTAAATGTTTATAAAAACAATTTTGCTCTGTTTCAAAAATGTATTCACAAAAAAACTACACTCTTCGTTAAAGTATACAGAGTGATTCTTTTATCATAACCCACTCAATTACTTGCAGAATAATAATAATTTAAACATTTTTTTTTTTATTATCTTTAGTTACACATTATTCTTGAATTTTTAACTATGTAATACTTTTTAAGTTCATCCCTTATGCCTTGGAGGGGGGTCAACTTTGTTTTTTTAAATGGTAACACATATTTTTAATTTAATAAAATGTTTGAGTTTTTAATTTAATAGTAAATGGCATTTGAATTTTTAATATAACTTTATTAGCTTATTAGATATAAACATTTAAAGTTTCAAAATTTTGAGTTAATATACATGTATAATACACATGGGATTGTAAATACAGGTAGCTAATTGGATTTTTATGACATTGTTGTCTCAGTCACGGATCATTTATTATCAATTATGATTATCAATAGATATACTTTCTGTATTGTCAGTTAGTGTATTTATAAACTCATAACAATGTGCCTTACTACAATTGATAATAACAATGCTGTGTACCTGCTAATATCGATGTTATAAAAAAACAAATTATCTACCTATATTTGTAATCCCTTGTGTATTATACCTGTATATTAATTCAAACATTTGAATCTTTAAATAATTATATCTAATAAACAAATTAAATTATATTAAAAATTCAAATGCCATTTACTATTAAATTAAAAACTCAAACATTTTATTAAATTAAAAATATGTGTTACCATTTAAAAAAACAAAGTTGACCCCCTTCCAAGGCATAAGGGATGAACTTAAAAAGTATTACATAGTTAAAAATTCAAGAATAATGTGTAACTAAAGATAATGAAAAAAAAAATGTTTAAATTATTATTATTCTGCAAGTAATTGAGTGGGTTATGATAAAAAAATCACCCTGTACATCAATAAATAAGTGAGAAAAAGTACAATGTTTCTTCACTTTAACTATGTGACATTTGATAATATTTTTTGTTATATCTGCTGTATTATAGATATTTTAAACGATAATATAGTATTTGATAATTATTTTTGAATGATAATTGATTATTGATAATTATGATAATTGATGAGTGATTGATTTCTCATTAACCTCTATATTTTTTCTAAAATAATAATAATTTTGAAAAATTTATTTTGAGTTATTAATATAGTATTTATTTCACTAATTTTTAAGTAGTTAAATACATTTTTTTAACTTTAATCCCGTTATATCAACGTCCACTGAATATACAACTTTGTTGTATCTCTAACAATACCTTTTAGCTTAATAAATACAAAAAACTTTTGAGTCCTAACTGATTCAAGAAAAACCTTTTTCTTCCTAATCACTACCAAGGGGAATTTCCACGATGGACAGCCGTAATCCAAAAGAGTAATAAGACTAAGGATACTCAACTATTACCAGCACAAATTACTCATTTAATTACTATCATATAGTGTCATATAGAGACCCAGTTGTGTTTTAATGAGAAAGCTTTTATACCTTAACTTAGAATAATAGAAAGGAAAAATAGTTCAATAACTTCGTAAATTTAATAATTAATAGATATATCTAAAAAAAGATGAAACGTAAAAATGGTAGCACAATGAGGTTGAGTTTTTACAATTATAATCAATTTTTATAAAATAACTGTTCCAACCATACAAATTATTTTTTTGTGGAATATAAACTATAATTATTATAGAACCTTGTTAGTACATTGTGGACGTGACATAGTTGGGACAAGTATAGGTAATATCTGACAGTGATTAAAATAACTATTATAAGATATGCTTCGATGCAAATTCGTAAACAGTGTTTCATTTTAAGTAATTAGTCGATTATTCCAAAAGCAACATCAACTCCTATTTCCTTAATTATATCTTGATTAGTATTTAATTTATTCATTAGTACAACATATGTATAAGTGCTAATTTTAGTAATAAGGAGATATTTAATTAAGAAAAATTTTTTTTTGGAGTTTTAATTTTTTACAATAGTATAATTTCGAGATATTTATCTAAGTTCCTAAAATTATGAGTTTTTTTTTATTTGGTGACTATAAATATAACTAGATTAAATTTGTGATCTTTTGACATATTAATAATTTATATTAGTCTAGTAAGAGCTGTAAATTTTAGCGAACAGATAAATAAAAAACACACAGCATCACAAGACCAACCTTCTTAGATACACAATGAAACTAAAAAAATATACAATCATAAAGTTTTAAAAAAAATGTAATACATTATAGCGTATTAGCCTTGATGCGAAGCTGAAAAGGTATTCATTTTATTAAGATTATTTTTTTGTGACTGTTACCACTTATTCTCAGCTTTCACTGGATCAATTTTGATGAACAATACGTCAAAAGATTTCAAATCATATCTAATCAAAGACGTAACCACCAAAATTTCATAAAATTTCGCTCGTTCCCCTGGGGAAATTCCCTTAATAATTTCAACTTTAAAAATCGGTAATCTTTGACATTTTTTTAACTTTTTTTATCTTAAAACTGCCATAACTTTTTAAAATGGATGAATAGAAACAAAATTTTTTCTGATTTATATATAAGGTATTTCTTAACTACGTGATAGTGAAAATGGTTATATATTCAAAAATATAATATTTTTGTGTTAAAATTCTTGGTATTGTATTTTAGTTTATTTTAATATACCCTATAAAGGGGTACACTGATTTTCATAAAAATTATATAAATATAATAAAAGATAAAAGTAATTTTAACATTTGAATCAGCTTTAATTTCCAATTTTATCAAAAAACAAATACGACGAACGTTGACACTGTGGTAATGACTTTTTTGTCATTTTTTTAAAATTCTTTTTGAGTTATAATTTTGCTTATGAATAATCCAACAATTTCATAAAATTAAACACTATCTACAGATTTGCATCTAAACGTTTCATTGATAGTGATTTTAATCACTGTTAGATATAATCTACGAGTTTACTTGTCCAAACTATACCACACTGACTGTGCTATCGTTTTTTTGTCTGTCATTCATTTTCTCAGATTTAACACGACTAATTTTTTTTAATGATACAATAAATTATCACATGTAGCATGTAATTACAGATATTATCGAAAATTAAAAAAATTTCCCCTTAAATAAAAAGATACTTAATCCTGATTCTTAATATAGGTAATAAAAATCATTCATTTCTAATGTTATAAAAGTATATTTGTCTAATTAGGTTTGATATGATATGATCACTAAGGGTTACATAGAAATTGTCACTATTTTTACTATTAAAATTATTCATTACGATAAAAATACAAAAAAAATAGCAATTTTAACGAAATACTGATTTTTTCTTATAAATTTACTATAAATAGTGTGACGGTCACCTGTTTCTAGCCGTAAGGCTTTCACCAATAAAGGCCCGTAACTCCAAAAAAAGTTTGATCCACCACTAGACTAGGCTAAACCAGATCGGAGCTAGTGTAATTTTAAATGTAAAGGACACACCTGTTTTTCTAAGATTGTATTACTGTTCTATTTACTAAGTTTTTATCTTAACTCTAGAGGGAAAAAGAATTTTAAAAAACCAGCACAGTGAAATCGCGGCACAGTGGGAAAATGGCATAGTTGGATTGTAATAAAAATAAATAAGGGAAGCGATGAGATAGAGATGGTAGGAAAGGGGTTATAAGTTATTTGGATTGTATTAGATTCATTCATATCATCTTAATCCTACCTCTCACCCACTCTGTCCTATTTCTTAATATTACATGAATATAGTGCATGTCTTACGACTACACTTACCTTGACATCCAAATAGATAGATGGTGAATTGTGATGTTTCTTGTTGACGTCGATATTTTAAGTTAATTTTGTTAACAACATTTCAGTTGTTAACTTAAAGTGTGTACTCGGACCGGTTTAATCGTCATCACGCGACTACTCCCTACTATGAACGTTGTAGTGGACGTTCCTATCACCGGCCGATCAGCTGTTACACACTACACACCACACACAACACATAGCCACAAAAATTCTTGTAATATAACATTGTAGAAAACGGGAAAAAATAATTACAATTTTTCTTTGTTTTGTTTTTCACTCAGAAAAAACTCAAGTAGTTTTTTTTTTTGTTGTTAATTAAAATTAAGTGTTGAATACTGAATAAGTTCTTTTTTGGATTATAAATTCATCAATTTTTGTTTCACAGTGCCCACCAGGGCTTGCATTGTTCATTCATTCTAGTCTCCTGTGATATTTTATACTTATTTGTGAAACTTCCATTGCAATTCATCTCTAAGTGTTCAGAAAAAAATGTGTGTTGTAGTAATTGTGTGTAAATGTAATTTGTGTCTTAGTTTTAACAGTGGCTGGCCAGTTACAATTATTAGTGAGTACCATTTATTAAGATTATTGAAGTTTTATTTGATATTGATTTATTGAGCAGTTTAAGTTTGTGTGTAATTTGTATCATATTTAATTTATTATTCCTCCTTAATCGTTGGCGTAAGGTCAGCATGCAACAGCTATAAGAGCTTGTAAATATTGTTTAGTTAATTAGTCAGAAGGGCTAATTGTTAAATTCTATTGTGGGGAATTTAAATTATTGTCTCTTTTACTGTTCAAAGTCCTGTCATTATAAGTGATCAAGTTAACAATTAGTTACCATTATTAGTTTATAATTATTGTCTAATTTTATGTAAATTTAAGTTTCTGAATTATTATTATTACAGTTGTAATTTA